CACAGACAGAATCCTTATTGATTTCTGTGCTGCAGCCATGCAACTCCCCCCTTCCCGGCTGATGTGTTGCTGAGGCAACAGCTAAATTATGCAGGGATGGCTCATCAGACAGGTTTCACTGCCTAAGCGGCAGAAGCCGACTCAAGGGTGGCAAATGATGCCAGGGCTTGACAAATTCCCAGTAATTCCTAGAAACCAGAGTTGGACCACTGTGGTCTGGTTCTCCACCTTGGTTCCTAAATTAAATGTTTCACCTTGCCCAAGCCAGGATCTGTCTTCTTCTATTCTGCTTTGGGAAGTGAGCTCTCCAGTTGCACTCATTTACTTAGTCTGGGCAGAATAAGATTTTCCTGCTTTTCTTGGTTTGCAGAACCTCCAAATCAAAAACGCCTCTGATCTGAACCAAATGACAAACTACAAATCTAATCAAGTTACAGGGGGTACTTATCCAGTCTCTTGTAATTGAGCCTACTAAATACATTACCTCATCATTGTATATCTAAATTTACTAGGCCAACATGGGTGGCTGTCAAATAACAAAGCATCTGTGTAACACAATGAAAGACGGGCACATTGTTTAATGGTAAAACTGACATCATAAGCCGCACCTAGTTTCCTAACAACAACAATGTAAACTTTGGATGCCTGGTTGTGACAAACTGTACAAAATGCAGCCAGCGTTAACTGACAAGTAAATTTGTCTGTCCAGTGGAATGCTCTGGTTACTGGTACTGTGACACAAAGCACTAATGTTACACAAAGCTCAAATTACCCCAAATTATAATCATACTCATTTGATAAAAAAATAAAATCATTACCATGCTAGGTTACTCATTCATTCATTTTCTACCGCTTAGTCCCTGAACGGGGTCATGGGGGGGGGGCCGGAGCCAATCCCGGCCAGCAATCGGGCGAAGGCAGGGTACACCCTGGACAGGTTGCCAATCCATCGCATGCTTGGTTACTAATATTACCAAAACAAACACAAGGTTTAGATGCCGACACATCCAGAAGGCCCAACACCACATCTGAATCACACTTGAGTCCTTTGGCTGCTTTTAACTCTCCATTTCAGAAAACAAAACTGATGTTAGTGCAAAAACCAAGGTTTTCCTTTTCCCACTCTTTCTGTGCAAAATAATGTGGCCTCTTCAATCTGGCAGCCACTGTTTCAGACTTTTAGCTGCCAAGAGCTCCTCCATGGCAGGCTGTTTGACATGACAACTTCCAATTTGAAAAACACTTCCTTCACTAGGTGGCAGGCGAGGCTAATTAACAGGTCTGACTTTGAGAACACAGCATAAAGAAGCTGCAATAACAACTAGAAGTGCTGTAAGCACCATAATGTCATGGAATGGGTCCGTATAATAGAGAGATAGCACGTCCTGTCCCATTTTCACTTGATTTATCGGGTGTGCAAAATCTTTGTATATTCTCATTTTATTCATTGAGTCATGTGATATCATTAGACAAGGGTACTAATACCATAGTAGATACAACTCAACTGTGGTCATTAATCTGTCAACTTGATGCCTGGCTACACATTCCTAAAACTGATGTGATGACGGAGAATTACACATATCTGTTTCTGTCTCCCTCTGTGATAACAGCAATGCAAATGTAGATATACAATTCACTGCCTCCATTTTGTCTCATTTGTCAAAAGGCACAGGGAGTTGCACAGGAACAAAAAGTATGTGAACAGAAAATTTGTAGACAAGGGCTACTGCATCCACGCACTATAGAACGCCCCTCGGTTAAAACATCCAGACAAACCAACTGAAGTATACTGGGGCAAAAGGCACAATCTGTTTTCTGCAGGCATGGTTCAGACTTGCTGCTTGGAGTGGAGGGATCTATGGACATGTTTGTGTATGTGAGCAGGAGGGGTGGTGGGGTGGATTACAGGGGTCATGCAACCCTCTATCCCACTGCAGCAGAGGCCAGAGTGCTGCTGGTTGCCAGCCCCAGCTCTCTCTCCATGCGACAGCTTTGTCTGTCCCCAGTTTGACAGTTATTTACTCTGATGTTTAGGACTAGGCTGAGGTCAACTCACGTGCATCACTGGCAACGTCCTAGTACAAAGTCTGTGTAAAGTCTAAGTGAGCCGGACTGAGGCCACGTAAGAATACAGCCACGTACAGTATAGTTCACAAAAAACTAGTGGGCACGTTGCCGACATTCTATCATCTAACTGGCACGAAACCAGAAGAAAAACCATTTATTTACAATAAAGACACCAATGAAAATATCTAACTGGACACTAGAGATGCTCCAATCGATCAGAAATGCCCGGTTTTCAGCGTGATCAGCCGGTCACCAGTCAAGGCCAATCACTCTGAGATATTTAACTCTGTGCTGGTTAGATTTAAAAGCATGACAGTCCACGCTGGGCACGTAGTGGCACAAACCAAAAGCGTAGCATATGCAGCGTGTAGCATTTCACATGCATCTCAAGCGAGACTATGTGCTCAATAGTAACAGACATTCTTCTGTTTCTATTACCTGTGGCACCAGTTTATATTTGGAGAAGTGCAAATACTGCACTTCAGTTTTAGTTGGTTTGTAAAGTGTGAGAAAGACAGAAAACTTTAATACGTTTTATTTTTAATTACAATTAAAATTTTCAAACTCAAACTAAAAGGGTATTTCTGATAGGTGAGAACGCATCTGACTGTCCTGTTGTGTGCTACATGTGTGAAAGGAGTTCATGTCTGAAAATGGCTTTTGACTCCCCCCCTTTGACAATGCTTTTTTTTGGTGGTGGTGGGGGGGGGGGGGGTTAGTATTTGTGGCATCAGCCCAGTTTGTCTCTGGCCTCTACACAATACAATCACTTCAGACAAAAAAATTCCTCTGTCTCCACTGTCCCCTTCCCCCTACAGCAGTGCAACCCGAAACTGTCTGTAGAGATGAGCCGTCATTAAATACTGCAGAGCTGACATAATGACACGAAAGATTTAAAAATAAAAAAAAAAAAAAAAGGGGGAGGGGACAGACCACTTCTCATCCCATAATGCCTCCCCCAACCCCCAGGCTCAGCCCACCTCTTCTAATAAAAGACCCCAAGACACAGATAGGGCACTGGTCAGCAACAACTGGTCACTGAACACAGCTTCCATGGTGAAGAAAGCCCAGCAGCAGCTACACTTCATCAGGCAGCTCAGGAAAGCTGGACTGAACCATCGCCCTCTCACCCAGGCTTATAGAGGACTGACAGAGAGCATCCTCAATACTGGCATTACAGTTTGGTATGGTAACACCACACAGGCAGAGAGGAAGGCTCTTCAAAGGGTCATAAAGACTGCAGAGAGGATCACTGGGACTAAACTTCCTGCTATGGACACAGTATACACACAGTGCTGTCGTAAAAGAGCAGAAAACATAATCAGTGATCCACTCCACCCAGCTCACTCTCTGCTCAGACACAAAAACTGCACCTACAGCCTCAGGCACAGCAGAGCGGACAGTATCATCACACACAGCACAAGACTTTACAACAGCTTTTTCCCTGCCGCAGTAAGACTGATGGCAAATACGAAAAAGTGAAAAATACATGCAAAACCCCCTCATTACCTTACTATGTAAAATATGAGAAATACCATGTGCAATATTTGAAATTCACCATCGTGTTTCTTATTACTATTTTATTTTTGTGTTCACATTTTTTTTATCTATTTCATTTTTATGCAACTTTATTTTAGACTTGGTGTTCTTTTTCTGTCTTTTGACTCTTCACTTGACTCCAAGAGAGCCCTGCACAAGAATTTCTATATGCCTAGACTAGAAAATAAAATAAAAATCTTGACTCTTGAATCGATGTTCACACAAATCCTGGCAGAATACTACTTCTCCTCTCTATATGTCTGAAAAAAAGAAGCACAAATCTCCATTTCATACAATGTTCATATGCTATGGAGCAATGTTTTAATCACCAATGTTCCAGAGCCAAATTTGGAAATGTCAAGAGAAGCACCTTTCAAAGACATTTTCCTTTAAATAGACAGTAATTAAATCCAGTGACATCACAGTTCAGCACCCTCAGCGCACTGATCAAGAGCAGATACAGTATGTCCTCTGACATTGACTACTCTGCCACAACTATGGCTTTTTGTATCGCCAAATGGCTGCTGAGTTCTTTTTAACTTGCCATGTCCCAAGCTATGACGTTAACCTACACGTAACTCAGCTTGGTTCCCAGTTGTCATTCCAGTGTTCTGTGACACTGTGCTGAGGCAATATTTACCTTCAAGAGAAAGAGTACTTGGCACACAGCCAAAACTCCTGGGGTTGGAGGAGGGGAGGGGCTGTTGGGTTGCTACTGTGTACAACATCCAACCTTCCCACCCACCAAAAATCCTCATAATGACCGGACCAAACACCTACAGCTTCACAGCAGTAGCCCTGCCCCGCCTGACTCTGCTACCTGGATCAGAGCCAAACCAGAGCCTGAGCAAAGCACCAATAGGACAGAGAATGAGAGAGAGAGAGTCACATACACACACACACACACACACACACACACACACAGAGAAAGTGAGTGCAGAGATGCGAGAGCTAGTATGAGTGAACACGCCAGGTCTCAGCCTAGCTGTTTGCCAGTGCTCATGTAGGAGCATTTTTAGCAACAAAAGCCAATCAGTGGTTCACAGAGATGTGAAGTGACTCGCAAAGCTACTGCTGGAGAGGTTGGTCCCAAGCAGCAAGAGGCTGGATTGAGAAACCAAAACACTCAAAACGAGAGAGGAGAAGAGCGAAGGCCTTATTCCTCTAGATCACTAAATCACTAAACAACAAGTGTTTCGATTATGTGACTGTATAAACTCAAAATTTAAGTTGAGAAGGACAATTTTAACACACATTGGAATTGGCAAAGGGATATTCTGAAACTATCCACAAAACACTGCAGTGCGAGTAATTCTGTGTACTGAAACACCAAAACAAAAACTGAAGTAATAAGTAGGAAATGGTGTGTCAAGGAGTCAAGGCACATCACAAACCTGTCTGAAGTGATCATCAAAGCCCCACTCGGCCTGCCCATTAGGAGAGGTAGCAGATTGAGTCCCTGCCGGAGACAGACCCTCGTCAGGTTCCTGCTTCACTCTGACAGGTGGTGATGCAGGTCTCTGGGGGGCCGAAGCAGAGTAACTGCTAAACGGACGGGCTGGGATGCGGGAGGCATTTTGCTGCAAAGCAAGCGTCTGCGTTCGTAGGAACTCCAGACCACTGGTGCTTACGTCATCCTCATCACTGCCCTCATCTCCCTCCATCATCTCATTGTCATCATCCTCATCCCCAGAATCCCGGCCTCTATCATCATCATCATCATCTTTTTCAGAGTCCGCACTGCTCTGATTGGAAACCTGGGGAGGCAGCCCGGTGCCAGGGATGCCTGCAGCCAGGCTTTTGCTCATGAAGCAGGCCCCAGAAGCCCGAGTGGCCGCCAGGATGGCCTGCTGGGTGGCAACCTGCTGAGCGTACATGATGTGGGCCTCTCGCAGCTTCCTCTCCTTGCGCTCCATTTCCAGTCGGGCCTGCTGCTGACGCTGGAGCTGCTCCATCACTGCCTCCAATTTCATGCCCCCTGTAGAGGTGCTCTGAGGAAAGGCCACACCAGGCTCCTGAGACATGTTGGGCTGTTGGAGGATAAGAAGTAGTCACCTACCATCCACCACATTACCCCTTTATCTCAATTTACATGATGAAATGTGACTTGTGTAAGGCAAAGGAGAGGGCAAAAAAAAAAAAATCTAAACTACAATGGAAACAAAGACGCCTAGACATAAACTCACACACAAACAAACACAGGCAATACAATCACATTATTTTCACCAGATTATAAGAGTAAAATATTGCATAGTTTTAACTGCTTGCACTCATTGACCTGGGCTAAGTCAATATTTGAACCAGGAGGGTTTAGCCAAGTGCCACTGAGTGAAAAGTTGGAAAATCTAGGGTATCACAGCCATAAATCTGAACTATATACCTTAAGCAAGGAAGCAGGACAATTCAATAACAATAACACTGTTGGCAACTAATATAACAATGCAGCCATAGCAAGGTTTTAGGTTGAACGTTTCAGGCAGTCCACACCTAGGCTACTGAGCTATGTTAAAGCAGACACTAACTAATGTCAGAGTAGCCAAATAATAATAATAATAATAATAATACCAGAAGAAAGAAAAATGAGAATGCTACTGTACTAACTTTCCTATTACTGTGAGCTTTTATAAGAATAGTGCACAAATGTTGTCACACGTCTAAACACCTTTATCAAAGCCAGAGGTGAATAACTGGCCCAAGCTAAGCCGCTTTGGTAATCATTAGTAGAATGGTCCTTCACAGAGCTAATAATGTTAGTGTTCAAAATGCTTTAACCCCAGAAAAAGCACCCAAATGTTCTCCAGCAGGAAGTTTGTTAGCTAAATAAAAAGCAGGCTACACCGACCTCCGGTCGGCAAATCACTTTTTGCGCATTTGGCCAGCTGCCACAACCTTAAAATAGGTGGATAACGTAGCATTAAAGGTTTTAGGATGCGTTACTGTACAAACAGGCACAACAAGCCTATTAATGGAGCCCAGTGCATTTTCTGGAGGTGCATTACAGTGTTGTTGTAAGATTGTAAAAAGAGTACAAAGTAACCGAGTAAATTAGCTCTGGAAGTGTTTTTCTTTTGGAAAACGTAACATTAAGTTAGCTGCCTCATTTCCGTGAATGAACTGAGGTCAAACTGCGTCTTTCATAAGAATGTGAGCTCGTTACAGATCAGAGAAACGTCAAGGGACGCCAAAGTAGGAACATGACTCACCATTTGTGCTTTACTACTGCTTGAATTGTCCACCATCCCTCTTTCCTTGGCTCTATCCTCCTTCTTCCCTTGTTTCTGGCAATTGTTCAAACACTTGCAAACACACGCGCGCGCACGGGGGCACAAAGAGCGTACATGCACCTCAGAATGAAGCAGAAAGGCGCTGGATGCAGTCTTCTGGACGACCTCTCCAATTGTGCCTGTCTCCCTCTCTCTGTCTGTCTTCCCCGATTTTCTGCTTTAATACAAAAGGGGACCGACTGGAAGATGGCCCGACCTCATGTCTCGGAAAGCGCTGATGTAACTCCCTTCACTCGCTTTTTCCTCCCCTACAATTGACACCCCCCGCATGGCGCACGACCGCATTAGGCCCGCCCAGCGACAGCAACAAGTCTCACGGACGTTTTGGTTTCAGGACAATCTTGTTGTTTTTACCTGTAATTTAGTCCTTATTTTATTCAAACACATTTATTCGTTTGAATAATATATCAGCAAAACTGTAAAATAAAAATAAAAATAAGTACAATTAGATAAGTATGCGAGCAGCTATGGGGAACCTTCTACGCCTCAGTCACAATAAAAGGTTAGACGTTTAAAAACTTTTTAACTGCGAACTAACCGTGAAGTGGCACATAAATTAATCAATGCACTTTATTGTCCTATTAATAATTGGCATGGATGCCATCAGGGAGCGTGTTTTTAAAGCCAAATGCATGGTGGTTCATGTATCTTTTTACTAACAAAGATTGGTATTGCATTCACCTACATATGACCTGCACATATCTCTGAGTGCTACAAGACATGGAAAAGATTTTGATGGGATGTCAACATGAAACATTACACAAATGTGCCTCGCAATTAAGTGTAATAGCTATTGCGTTAAGAATGCAGCACAGCTTTATGCTGCCCCCTTGTGGAAGCAACTCGCGTGTCCAAAATGTTTAGTGTGGACTTTTATCAGTCACAGCTCTCATTCCAGGATGGAAAAGCTGCATTCACATACTGCCTCTGTACCTCTGTACACAGCTATTACAGAAAATTATTGTTAGTAGTTATTGTAACAATCGTACCCAAAAAAATATAGATAACTAAGCTTTGTTTAATAACGTAATCCAGTAAAGAATACAAAGATTTGTGTTTACGGTCATAAAATTACAATTTATTGTATTTAGCGCTGAAGAACACTATATAGTCACAATGCTGTATAACAAGGAGATTGTCCCAATAATTGCATAGTCAAGTGTACTTGCTACTGACCACTGGTGTTATGTGCAATATTTAAAAGCAGGGCTGGGGTCAATACACTTTAAATTCAGCTGTACATGTAACGTGTATAGCTCACACTTAGTGTAAGAGTAGAGCCAGCTTTTTTTTATTCCTAAATCACTCAAATTACATCCATGGAGTGCTGGGAGATTCTGTACATTACTCATATTAATAATATAACATTACTGTTTTCATTGCAACGGTCTTAAAATCCACTTTTGAATTAGTGAATTGAACCCAACTCTTGAGTACATATTAAGGTTCATACTCTTTTTCCTATCATTCTTTCCAGTCATTTTCTTATTTATGGTGGTCAAAGTTGTCTGCTATATATTTTAGTTATGTGGTTCTGAGGTACTCCTTGAAACAACCAACATCACAGCATGAGAAACAACAGTGTGCAGGTAAGTAAAGCAGTGGCCACCCATTTATCTTGACTGAAAAAATGTTTTCAACTCTTTATTTTAGAAATGTGAAAGGCAAATTACTTTTTTGCTGCGCACACACACACACACACACACAATATTCTGCAGAAGTGATCACCATCAGTTGACCACATTTTTTTAACAACATTCCAAAAAGTTCCAAAATAAACAGCCATAACAGTAATAGTAAAATATTACCTGGACTGTAATACAAGTAAACAGAACAAGAAAACAAAAATCTTTTCTTTAAAGACTGCCATCTCAGCACCTGTGTCTATTGTGTAGAAAATAAAAACAAACAGAATGACTCTTCTCAATTCTAATGCTAATCTGGCTTACTGTTTTTAACCTTAAGCAGCTATTTATAGTGTCCCCAACAACTGCACAATGAATAAATAAATAATACAACTCAAATCTGCCATCCACATACATTGACGTGTTAAAGATGATGTGTCTTTCTCAACAGTGGGTAGGGTTTGAATCCAAAATACTCAATCTCAATCTCAGTGGGAAAAAAGAGCAAGGCTAATTTTTCACTGTTCCTCTCCTTCTCAAATAGCTCTCTAAAGTATGGACATAAAAAAACATATACAGATCTAACTACATAAACAACAATATAACATACATGGGAACCTAATCTAATTTTCTTTTATGCATACAATTTTTTCAAACTGCCTTTTTTTTTTATTTTTATTTAAGTGGCAGACACAACACAGAGACCATAAAGGGCGACTGAATCAAACATAAACATTAATGGTTCTACCAAAGACCTTCAGTAACTCAACTGCTTACATTGTGTGCCATATATAATAGTGTAACGTTTGGTAACTTTAGGTTAGACTGTTAGAAAAACAGTATAACACTGTGTATGTAGTGCATGTGTGACTCCTTGAGATATATATATATATATATATCTCCATAATGCAACCTGTTAATTATAACAAATTGTTTGTTTCGTCAGACACAAATGAAAACATATGGAACCAGTTGAAAATAACCCTGATCCAGGAATATCTTTTTTTCAACTTCAGATGGCAGCACTTGCTGAAAAGATCATTATTATTATACATACTGCAAGCTATAAAGAAGTCAAGTGCTTTCATTTGAACACTACTTCTTCAGTTCAGTGCTGTGTGTCCTGTTGAAAATCAGATCCTTTGTGTTATTTCTGTTGAAATTGGAATATTTCCCCAGGTGGTGGTCATCTCAATTTGGGATAAAACTCAAATGTAACTTTTGAGGCCAGTTAACAGTAAAGACAAAAAAAACAAACACAACAGTTAATGCAACACTAGTCAGGGAATGTAACTGGTCAACTGAGATGCCTTCAAACAGCAGCAAGTTAATAGCTGAAAATTTCAACTTCACCAAAGAGCTGAAACATTAAAACACAATATGCCATATTTGGATGCATGTCATGCTTAAAGGGGCTGTGGACCTGTTCTTGAGAGAGGACAAGACAGGAACATATGCCAAATGATAATCTGTCACTATTTGAAGCAGTGGCATAGTTAAAATTTCATTTGGTTCTATAAAAAACAAAACAAAAGTCAAGCTTTGGGGTCACAGTGGATAAGGCTTGTTCTTACGTCTAACTGCATTTTCTTGCAGGTTGAGCAATCTCGAACAGTCCTGCATGAGCAGGCTTGGCTTCAGAGGAGGAAGTCCACAGGCAGCACAAAAGTGGAGCTGGGCTAGAAATAAGGCCTGTGGCACTAGTGACTAAAGGTCAGGGACTGCAAGTGGAGCCAAGCCTTTGTAAGGTTCAAGTCTCAGCACCAGTGTCACTGCATGGAGCAGGACGGTCCCTCAAAGCAGCAGCACACAGAGGAGCCCATGGCTTTGGGAGGAATCAGGTCTAGGTCCTCGTCATCAGGGACCTCATCCAGACGGTAGCCATCCTGAAGCAGCTGCCTGCTTAAATCAGGATGGATCTGGAGAGCAAAGAGAAGAACCTTACTAACACACATATCACATCAGAAGTAATTGCCTCAACCTGATATACATCAAGTGTCTCTGAAAATTGGTGCTGTTTTAAAGGCATGGGGTGGTCACCGCAAATAGTGATTCGATTAAAGGTTTTTTCTGTTTACTAGATTTCTTATAAAGTTAACTGATGAATAAAAACTACTCATGGCATTATTTTTAAAGCATCCTCACTTTAATTGTAGTGCTTAAAACATTTGTGCAGTACTATGGACGGTCAGAAAGCAACTGTCTGCACACCCACACAACTGTGTTTCGTGGTGCCAACTCACCTCAGATGAAGAGTACCCTGAGGAATACTGCTCAAAATCAATCTCTTCATCACTGTAAATACAGGTAGAAGAGGTTCTGTCATTCTCATGAAAACAACTAATATGAAACATCCTTGAGGGCACTGAAATGGACAAAATGTCAAAAAAAACCAACTGGTAAATGCCAAGATGACATGGCTGCATACCTGGTTACACACATAAAACTAGTTTACACAATTAGTTTCAGCTCACATTCTTTGGATGGACAACTAGAAAAAGATATTTTGCAGATACAGTGGGTTATAGCATGAACTGAGCTGCACATTTCTGTCTGAACCTGACCCTAGACCAACACAGTTGAGTTTGTACAATGTCCCCCCTCCCCCCCACATGTTTGACCTACATGTCTGAACCCAACCCGGACCCAAACATAATTTCCAAATTTCTGTCCAAACCCAGCCCAAAAACTTGGGTACTCTTAGGCCACATCAAACCCAGTTCAGGTATCCACACCCTACTCTAAACTGCACTGCATACATACAGTGCCTTGCGAAAGTATTCGGCCCCCTTGAACTTTGCGACCTTTTGCCACATTTCAGGCTTCAAACATAAAGATATAAAACTGTAATTTTTTGTGAAGAATCAACAACAAGTGGGACACAATCATGAAGTGGAACGAAATTTATTGGATATTTCAAACGTTTTTAACAAATAAAAAACTGAAAAATTGGGCGTGCAAAATTATTCAACCCCCTTAAGTTAATACGTTGTAGCGCCACCTTTTGCTGCGATTACAGCTGTAAATCGCTTGGGGTATGTCTCTATCAGTTTTGCACATCGAGAGACTGAAATTTTTGCCCATGCCTCCTTGCAAAACAGCTCGAGCTCAGTGAGGTTGGATGGAGAGCATTTGTGAACAGCAGTTTTCAGTTCTTTCCACAGATTCTCGAATGGATTCAGGTCTGGACTTTGACTTGACCATTCTAACACCTGGATATGTTTATTTGTGAACCATTCCATTGTAGATTTTGCCTTATGTTTTGGATCATTGTCTTGTTGGAAGACAAATCTCCATCCCAGTCTCAGGTCTTTTGCAGACGCCATCAGGTTTCCTTCCAGAATGGTCCTGTATGTGGCTCCATCCATCTTCCCATCAATTTTAACCATCTCCCCTGTCCCTGCTGAAGAAAAGCAGGCCCAAACCATGATGCTGCCACCACCATGTTTGACAGTGGGGATGGTGTGTTCAGGGTGATGAGCTGTGTTGCTTTTACACCAAACATAACGTTTTGCACTGTTGCCAAAAAGTTCGATTTTGGTTTCATCTGACCAGAGCACCTTCTTCCACATGTTTGGTGTGTCTCCCAGGTGACTTGTGGCAAACTTTAAACGACACTTTTTATGGATATCTTTAAGAAATGGCTTTCTTCTTGCCACTCTTCCATAAAAGCCAGATTTGTGCAGTATACGACTGATTGTTGTCCTATGGACAGAGTCTCCCACCTCAGCTGTAGATCTCTGCAGTTCATCCAGAGTGATCATGGGCCTCTTGGCTGCATCTCTGATCAGTCTTCTCCTTGTATGAGCTGAAAGTTTAGAGGGACGGCCAGGTCTTGGTAGATTTGCAGTGGTCTGATACTCCTTCCATTTCAATATTATCGCTTGCACAGTGCTCCTTGGGATGTTTAAAGCTTGGGAAATCTTTTTGTATCCAAATCCGGCTTTAAACTTCTCCACAACAGTATCTCGGACCTGCCTGGTGTGTTCCTTGTTCTTCATGGGGCTGAATAATTTTGCACGCCCAATTTTTCAGTTTTTTTATTTGTTAAAAAAGTTTGAAATATCCAATAAATTTCGTTCTACTTCATGATTGTGTCCCACTTGTTGTTGATTCTTCACAAAAAATTACAGTTTTATATCTTTATGTTTGAAGCCTGAAATGTGGCAAAAGGTCGCAAAGTTCAAGGGGGCCGAATACTTTCGCAAGGCACTGTACAAACACACCAAATTATTATATTAGAACATCATTTTATGGTAAAGTAATACAACCCCAAATCAGAAAAAGTTGGGACAGTATGTAACATCAAAATTAAAACTGCAAATACTGATTTGTAAACCATCTGTGTCCTGTATTACACTGAAAACACTACAGCAGCACATTATTTGATGCGATACCTCATCAATTTTATTTTTTGTTCAAAATAAACACACTTCAATTCTGATGCCGGCAACACATTCCAAAAAAAGTTGGGACGGTTGTATTTCAAGGCCAGTAATGAGGTAAAACAATGAAATGATGATTCCATTTGAACCAGGTGATGTAAACAGGTGACTGCGATCATGATTTGGTATAACAGTGGCATCCAAGAAAGGCAGAGCCTTTTAGGAGCAAAGATGATCAGAGGACCACTGGTTTGCCAACATATCTGTGAGAAAATTATTGAAATGTTTAAGAACAATGTTCCTCTAAGAAGGACATGAAGCAATTTGAATACGTCACCCTCTATGGTGCAGAACATAATTAAAAGATTCAAGGAATCTGGAGGGATTTCAGTGTTTAAAAGGCAAGGGCACAAACCTAAGACGGATGACTGTGCTCTTTGATCCCTCAAACCATTCTGCATCTGCGATGGGCCACCACACAGTGGAAACATGAACTGTGGTCAGACAAATCATTATTTCAGGTCTTTTTTGGAAGGAATGGATGCTGTGTCCTCCGGACCAAAGATGAAAAGCACCATCCAGACTGTGACCAGCAACAAGTCCAAAAGCCAGGGTCTGTCATGGTCTGGGTTTGTGTCAGTGCCCTTGGCAAAGGTCACTTACACTTCTCTGATGGCTCCATTAATGCTGAAAAGTACATAGAGATGTTGGAGCAACATATGCTGCCTTCAAGACGACGTCTTTTCCAGGGACGCCCATGCATATTTCAACAAGACAATGCAAAAACTCATACTGCTACATTACCAAGGCCTGGGAGGAAAAGGGTGTGAGTGTTGAACTGGCCTGCCTGCAGTCCCGACCTGTCCCCAATAGAAAATGTGTGGTGCACTTTGAAACACAAACTGTGTCAGAACTGTTGCACACCTTAATACTTGTTTGCAGGAAGAATGGGTCAAAATGACCTTCACACTTAATCACTTGGTGTCCTCAGTCCCTAAACATCTCTTAAGTGTTGTGAAAAGGAACGGCAACATTACACTGTGGTAAATGTTTTACTGTCCCAACATTTTTTAGAATGTGTTGCAGGCATCAGAATTGAAATGAGTGTTTATTTTGAACAAAGAATAAATTAGATGAGGTATCACATCAAATAATGTGCTGCTGTATTGTTTTGAATGTAATACAGGGCACAGATCATTTACAAATCACTATTTTCAGTTTTAATTTAGACTTTACATACTCTCCCAACTTTTTCTGATTTGGGGTTGTATAATTAAGGCCTGAAGTTTTATAAGTATAAGCTTAACAAATTAACCCAATAAAGAGCTCTGGTTCTATCACCTGTATACCTGGTGTAATCTTACCTGTCTGAGCCCACTGCAACCAAAGTGTCCTCAGCGTGCTGACTCAAAGCAGCGTAGCCCTTGTTAAACTTCACTGTCCTAAGAGAATAACCAGAAAAACTCAAAACTAATTTATCTTCATCACAACAATAACTTTCCTCTTTCCTTGTTATGCCTTCACCCTTTACCTCTTGGCTCCTTGTCGGGGCTGATGCATCACTGGAGGTCCTGGTGAGAGGGCTTTCTTCTTCAGAGCCCTCCTTGCCATCTCCCTGTGTTTCTCTATGAATAATAAGAACAAGAGACATCACATGTATGGCATGTTACTTACACTTTAAACGACTCTAAATTGCCCGTAGAAGTGACTGTGAATGTGTTTGTTAGTCTACATGTCAGCCCTGTGATAGACTTGCGACCACAGGCAGAGAAAAGGTGATGTGATGAGTTGGATCACAGATTCAACTAAAGGTGAAGTAGAAGAGCTATATTGAAAATAGATTGTCTAAGTGATTTATTATAGTCCAGGGATACCATAATCCAATCATTTCTTTTTTCCTTTTAAGCTATCTTTTAACGGATATTCAAGTATATTTACAAAACAAACCCGTCTCAGTGCCCATATGTCTCTCCCGATTTGTTTCTAACCAACATGTCTAGTAACACCAACTATTCAAGGAAATAGAGACCAAAAGTCAAGAATATCCCAGTAATTCAGAGGATAAGCTCAGGTCCACTACACATTAGCTTTACCCTTTTCAATTACTGAACATATGAACATACTGTATGTAAAACAGAGACAAAAGCTTCTTATGTGAAAAAAGGTCCTGTGTCTTTAGTAATAAATCTCTTAGGCCTCACATTACAAACTCACACTGCAGTTACTTCCCATGCACAAAACCCAGCATCTCCTCTTCTGTGTATGGAAATCCTCCCTGTTCATGACATTTGCCTGCTTTCATAGGGGACAGTTCAGCTACACAAAATCTGTTTTATAGATGCTAAGTGAATACTGGAACCAGAATTGCCAGTCAGTGAGGAGTATAATGCAGACATTTCTGCTGGAAGAGAGCTTGACAGCTTGCTGTTAAGCAGTACCTTCTGATCCAAATAACAACAAACATCAGGATCTTCGACGTGATGAAAGCAGACAGTGAACAACATTATGAAAATTTTACTTCACAGACCGTTTATTTCATAGACACAGTCTGAGTGAAGCTAAAGGCATCTTAGTCCAGAGTCGGGCTCTGCGGTCCTGCGAGCTGCATATTCAACACTCTTCAGCTGCCCCGTTTTGAAATGAACTCACAAAAACAACAAGTGGGACATGAGTCCTACAAACAACCACAATAATGACCTTGCATCATCAGTTATGAAGAGTCAAGAAATGCTTACGTAGTTTGAGGTGAATGGCTGGAGCTCTGGACATAATGTAAGGTCCTCGTTTTTCCACCGGCCTGATGCCTCCATCAGCAGTCTTAGGTCTTGTGCCACTACTGGGCATCTATGGTTAAAGAAATTAAGATTATTTCATATTCACATATGGTTGGCTAGCAAAGGACAATGCAATACAAGCCAGTAAAGTTTTTAGGGGTGTGTTTCAATCACGATGCCCATAAAAGGTTTAGTTTATGATTGTCTCTTTAGACAAGCTCGTTTTTGTCGTTTTTAACGTTAAGTCAGCTTAACGTTAGGTCTGTGTCCAGATATAAACTCCAACATTTCACTATCCGGATACAATTTGGTGGAATTGAAAACTCCTCAAAATTTTCCCAGCAATCCCATTGGAAACCGAATGTTAAACATTAAATGACGTGTTTTCAAGCTTATTAATTATGTCACTTAGTATCATTTACAGTAAAGCCTAGTAATGACAGGAAGCCTAACGTTACCTTCTCGACAGCTTCCAAAGCATGCCTCACCCAACACCTGCCAAAAAGAGCAGGCTAGCTAGGCTCCCAGTTTCTATTTACAAACTACCGTTAGCTGGATTAGCTTTAGCTAATCTTACCGACAAAACTTGAGACTCCGTCTGCGTTTCCAGCAGGGTGTCTTTCTCTGGTTCCTCTATGATGTCGTTCATCATCTTGGCGTTAGTTGTCACAGTCTGTACCACAACACAGACATGGTGACAGGGGTCCCACCGAAAGGGGGGATTTTGTTTCTTTCTTCGGAAGCGGATAGGCACTTGTGTTAGCAAGATGCTATCATGCTATCAGTGATTGACAGGATTTATGGAACTTCCGGGGAAAATTTTCAAAATAAGACCCTGTCTCGTGAACGTCTATGTAAACATGAGCATGTACTTTATATTCATGCATCTTTTCAGCATGAGTTTCAGATTTTATGTTAAATATTTTAATAGCTAATAACCTCTAGACTATGACAGTAAAAGTGTGCTGAAATGTCTGCAATGGTTAAAAAGTTAAAGTTTTTGGTTATACTTTGTATACATGGGAAGTTACTAATTTTGTTCTTTTATTGTTGTTTTGTTTTGGCTGCTGGAGTTGAAGACAAACCTGTCTTAGTGCCCATATGTCTCTCCTTGTTGTTTCTAACCAGCATGTCTAGTAACCCCAACTATTCAAGAGTGGTGTTGTGGAGGTTTGAGGGCAACGCTGCTGACGGAGGAGACGGAGGACGGAGGACACTGCAGACGGAGGACACTGCAGACGGAGGACACTGCAGACTGTAGTCCAGTTTCTCCACTAACATTGCCAGTGAGTCACTCTGTGAAAGTCAGCAAGACTAATACGAGAGCAAAGGTGAGATCAAAATATTACTTCACATTTCTATATATCATTACATATTACTTTATGCTAGTTGTAATACATTTAAATCAGATTAAATGCCAAGTGTGAAAAAGTATTGTTCAGCTTGGGATAGTAGTGTGACAGTATAACCTTAACATGGTTTACTTACTAGTACTATACACTCACAAACCACCTGAAAGCATACCTGGGGTAGAAGGTGTATCTGCTGCAAGTGCACAAACATTCACACTGGCACAGAAATGTATATTACAACTAAAGTGGGTTGTCTCTTACTCTACTCTGTACAAGACAATCAAGATTATTATTACTGAACAGGAGGGTTGAATACTTATCAGTGATCACAACTGCCCTATTTCACAATGACATCAGAGAGTAAATAGTGTGTTGCATTCTGGATTTTTAGGGAGCTCTACAGTAAAATAACAGCAGTAGGACCAAACTTCGTAGGAAGTACTAGATAGGCTTTTCTGCCCACAAAAATTGTCACGAACAATGATATGCACTGCTTTATCTGGTGGCTCATGTGCAGGGGTTTTAGTGTCTTAAGTTAAGAATCAAAGAAGCATTTTATTACAAGGCCAGTGATGTTAGAAACATCAATGTTAAAATGAGTGAAATGTGGTACGACCTCTCACCAAAATCTGCAGTACTGCATTATTTTGATATTTATAGTTTGACTATCAGTGACACCAGTGCTATGAATTTTAGTCACTGAACTTGAATTGAGTTGGTCATGGTTTTTTCAAGCAGTCTTTATAAGACATGCATACAGACCTTTTTCACAGGAGACATTTTGATTTGTCACAGTAGGAGAAGCACAGGTGTTACAAATGGCATTAATAATGGCTCCATTTCATTTAAGAAACCCAGTAAGGTATGCTAGTGAAGCATTCATATTAGTTGGAAACATGCACCCAGCATTAATGATATTAGTTACATACATGTGTACTTTGTCTGCACTGACATTTCAAAATGTCTGCTGTAACAAAGGTCCCTTGTAGAGTTAAAATGTTCAGTGATTTACCAGAAAAAATAAATGCACCACACATACTTCAATTTCTGTTTTTTATTAAGTCCACCATTTTGTACACATCAGGACAGCATGGATTCAATCAACAATATAGACATTTTTGACAGGACAGAATCAGGAGAGCTCATCTTTTTAGAAATCAAATGACCTGAGGAAAGAGGAACAAATATCTTTTCAGGTGTAATAAAAGTATTATGTAATATATTCAATGATCAACTGTACATTCATAGAGCAGGCCAGCATTTATGTATATGATCCTAAGCAGTGCTGGACAGCACAAGTATTTGTGTCTGAAGAGACTTTTTCTAAAGCCTCAAATCACTTTCCGAAGTAACATGTACTACTGTAGTACAGTATAGCACAGTCTCACCTTAATTGTCTATAACTTGTCAAGGCCCAGCTCTTCTGGTGTTGAGATGCCGAGTTCTGCCAGGGTGGGCTTTAGCTCCTGAATCAGGTAGGGATAGATGTCTTTGTGGGGACCTGCTTTGTCCTGCAAAATGGGGAAAAAGTCAACATCAAATGAGGAGCATTTTACCATAAGCAAAATTGGCACTCGTCCTTTTGTTTCCTTAGTCATTCCATTTGAAGTTGTGATTACACCTTTCCAATGAAACAAAGTTAAACGAAAGAGAGATGCTAGTTAACCTACAATGGAACTGCCACTCACCCTGACAGCTTCAAGGATGCGGATGGCACTGGCCAGGTCGTTCAGTCTCCGACAAGCTCTTAGTGCCGAATCCAGGATCTTAGGCTCAGGTACCAGGTCATACTCAGTCAGGGTGTTAATGCCTTTAGGTTAAAATTATTGAAAAAAAATCCCATTACTTTATAGAAGCAGCAATGTAACAGGAAGAAATACATTTTGACTGAATATTCTCAAAATTATTTTCAAATGAACCCAAACTGGAACCTTAACAATGACCAAACTACAGACAAAATTGACTTGGTCACCTTTCCTCAGTTCCCAGGCATCTATGTCAGGCTTGCTGAAGTAAGTGGCCCACCGGGCATCAAACTCCTCATCTGTCTCCACTTTTCCATGGGAGTAACATCTGGAGGCCAATGGAGCTGAAAAACATGAGGCAGAAATAGAGATTTCTTTATTTTTATAGTACATTATTATTATTATTATACATATGGGTATAAATATCAACATCAAATGCAGTTATTAAAAGGTTGCAAAGTATATACATGTAATAATTTTAACTGTCCATTTTATGTCTGCTGGGACTGGCTCTAGCTGTCTGCAAAAGACAATGTTGCAGGCCCGTATTCTGAGACATACATTACCATGATGACATTTTAAAACACAAGAAGCAGATTGTATAATCCCTCCTTCAATTACCTACCACAAAATGAGACAATGCCTGTATTAAATATGAAACAGAAACGTGTGTCTCCGTGAAAGCACACACACAACAGCTTTTATTAAGGAAATACAGGTTACACAACATTTTTAGCTACAGGGTTGTCAGTGTTGCTGGCTTGTAAATTACTTTCATTCCCGCACAGTAGTATATGTGACAGGTTGGTTTCTGTTTGAATTTCAGAAATTAAACCCACACAAATTATGTAATCACATCAAGTACAACTTTGTTCAACCATAGTTTAACATAACAGTGTAATAACATGATATAATAAGGGATTATTTCAACTCCACTTTTTCTGTACAAGATATAAGTCACTCCATAAGTTCATCTTCTTAATACAACATGCAAAAACGAATCACCTTTTTATAATTAAAACTATACATATGATTTCTAGTCTGCACATATACCCACAGTGTTATCTGTGACCTAACATACTTTGTGTGTGTGTATGTATATGTATGTATATGTATGTATGTATATATATATGTGTGTGTGTGTGTGTGTGTGTGTGTGTATAGATGGATAGATAGTTATATATTTTATATGGTTACTACATTACGTGTTAATATCGCGTAAGCTGCGTAAACACGGCGACTGACACTCTTCAATACACTAAGGAGGGTCATCACAAGGTCGTGACTTTTATACTAAAATTAATTTCGCGCCTCTTCATTGAAAATACACTACAAAAGATGGAGATACAAGAAAACATTAATTTCGAGCCCACAATAATAGCGACTCCCAAAAATAATTCAATATCACTTAAGCCTGTGGTTAAATACATATACACACACAGCGGCTGTGGCTAAGATAGCCAAGCAAGCTTATCGTTAATCTTAACAAACACTGTTTAATTTTACAGAAAGTATAAAGCGGACAGTTCTACCTGCGCAGCAGGGTCGTGATCGAGCCAGACTCCGGGCCGCTGTGGCTGACAGTCGGAACACAGCTCCGAACATTTTACCGCAGTGGCATTAGCCGTGCTAATGCTAAAGAGGAAGACCGGACCGGACAAGACAAGGGCGACGAGGATCACGTGACTCACGGAAGCGCCTGAATGCATCTACGTCCAGCCTGCTGATTGGTCCGTTTGATGTACACGTTTTACTCAGACTGTAAGTGTTTTTGTTTTGGCCGTATACCGCGGTTTTCTTAAATGATCTGCATAAGCAGTTGCTCCTGCAGGATCATATTTTATAGCACGCATAAGAATCACCTACGGCAGTGTATTTGCCACTACGTGAAAAAATGTCGTTATAACGAGAAAGTTTTTCGTTGGATCTTTTCATGTTTAAAACAATATTTTATTAGTAATTATGACATACCTTATCTTCTCGTTAGGCATACCATGGCCACCTTTAAAGTTCACATGGCATGTTCATTTTGCTTGTTTCCAGCCATTTAATGTTTAATCTTGGGTACCTCTAGATTAGCTTGGCACCCATCATAACTCCAAATAGTCTGTAATTTTTTCAGAATCATTAAACCAAAGAGCCTCTCCCTAAAAACGAGAGGATAGTTAGTGAACGCGCACACCTCTTGCTGCCTGCTCCTGTTGTGTGGCAATTTGACAGCACAATGAACTGTAATGGCATTAATTAATTTGAATTTCTCCTCCATAGATAGGTAAACAATAGTACATGTACTGATAAAAAGAGATGTGTAACACTAAACAAAGATTGAGAAACCCCATATTTTAACTGGAATAATGCAGACATAGTAACCTCTCCAGCCTTAAAACAGACATGCAGTGTGTTTTGTTTTGTTTTTTCGTTTCACCCAGTAGTAGAAACATTACTCCCTTTCAAGTATAGATCCAAGGTTGGTAAATCCCTCCCTCTCGTTCATGTATTCTGTCTTACCACAACTGACTTTCATTCCTCTTCTTTCCAGAGCAGA